TTTTTATATCATCAAAAAATGCATGATGATCGATATGATGATGTTTTGTAGAGAACTTATAGCTTGAAATTCGACATTTGAATGCACTACTGATTCGTTCTATTCCATCAGCTCGTACTTCCAGAACATTTCTTCTTCTTCCTTGTCCTAACTGTTCGTTTTGAATCGTTGGATTTATTTCATATTTCGGAGATATTTTGATTTTTTTGGATGATTCCCCCATATTGTCATCAACATGTTTGCTCTCCCTTAAGTGGCGTAATAAACTTTTTCTTGCAGAGAATTCTTTTCCACACTGCGAGCACTGCATTTTTAGTGTAATTGACTGATCAAAGTGAACGAATGAAACTGGAACTATTACTTAGTCCTTGATATTGTGTAAACGGTATTTAAAGCTCCAATCTGATTGAATGTATGGGGTGGGGGGATGAATCCAACAGGCTATTATTTACTTGGAAACGACTGCACACTATTTATCCCCCCGAATATATTTCCTAGAGAATGATACAATTCGAGTGGGAATCACATCAAAACCCCACTTTATTGGTTGGCTAAAAATAAATCAGGTGAATCGAGGTAAGATTGAAATCGAACCTACTCCTCGAAACTAGTTTATACTGATCCATACTTGAAAGGCAGGTGTTCCAATTTGAATAATTTCATTTTCCTGGCCTCGAATGGTGAGACGCGTTTTCAATGTTGATTTGATTCACAATCACTTCGAAACAACTTCTCAAAACGACTTTCCCAAACGAGTTTTATAATACCGGATACAAGACACGTTACAGTCGAGCTGAATTCAAGGTTGTTATTTTCTCGATCGCGACCTTCTTATAACAAGTCATCAAATTATGTTTTTCCTTTCACCAGCTGGTACGAGTTTTTAATGATCTAGTTGAGGTCATCATTTCAATGTTTATTCGTTTTGCAATCACATTAAAACCACTTCTCAAAAAGACCTTTCCAAACGAGTAGCCAGTTTTTATTATACCGGATACAAGACATGTTTCAGTCGAGGTGGATTCGAGGACGTTTTTTTCTCACAGGGAATCGCGACCTACACACACCTTCTTAGAACAAGTCATCAAATTGTGTTTTTTGTTTCACCAGCTGGTACGAGACGAGTTTTCAATGATCCAGTCGAGGTTATTATTTTCAACACATTCACATTTCCTATCTAGTATTTACCAGATACCGATTATAATCTAGCAGAATCAATTATATGTTCATGGTAATGAACTAATAAGATATTTTTAAGTATCTTCTTGTATCTGTATAGTTGCGGAAACACCAACCAATGTCAAAGTATGCTTTTCGAAAAGAATGAATTTTCATGTTCAAAGAATTTGTATCACTATGAACAAATGACATATTTTCATGTATCCCATTGTAGAGTTGCGGAAACCAACCAGTGTCAAAGTATCCCTTTCAAAGAGAAAACAATGAATTTTTAATTACAAATATATAAGCTCTCAACCTATAATAATGATTATGAGTAACGGAATTGGAAATAAACAAATTGATCTAAAATCATGATAAGAACATTTTTTCCAACGAGAAAATTTCTCCTATTTCAGTGTGTTCGATAAATCAATGAGGTACTTCGTTGTGTTATCATTTCACAAAATCTCATCTTTCATGAAATGTCAAGCTACCTCTATTTAATAGATTAGCATTACGAGAAAATCAGATGGTAACAATCCGAAAAAATAACAAATTTCGCTGTTATATGTTACAGCCGTAGAAAAACTATAGTGTATAACTTGTACGAAATGATAATTCCCTACTTTTATGATTTTGCATTAATCTCGTGGAAAATGACTATCATTCCGTGCTCGTTAAACAATATACTATTTGAGTGTCTCGTAATCCTTTGAACGTATTGCAGTTCACCCAACATATATCACTGATATTATCACGAATGGGGGGGCCTATTTCGATAATTTCAAATAGAGATTTGATCAGAAATTAATATTCATTCTGGTTGTAGCATTCATGTTTTCACAATTAGGTAGATGAATCAATATAAAATGATTAAACAGATTTTTCGAATTCCAAAAATTGTGGTTTATATAGGTACTGTACTGACAAATATGTTCTATTCAAGAAAAAATAGATATACTACACCTTAATAAAGTTTTCATTATTGATAAAATCGTTCTTGATTGCAATGTATCACAAATACTGAAGCGACAATTTCAATTCGATCAAATAATGGATAGTAATTGATTAATACATACTAACCACCATTTAGAAGTCGAAATATTTCACAGAAATTTGAATAATTTCCGGTAATAATGATCAGTTTGAGAAATCGTAACACATTGCCCTTGAAAAGAGAATGGCTAAAAACCGCTTTGTACGGTCAAGACAAGTTCCACTACCACTCTACCACAGAAATCATATTTAAAGACGATTTTGCGTTCACATCTTCACTTCGTTTCAACACCGCTTGAAATTATAATCATCATGAGTAGTTTTGAATCCATGTCGCTTGAAGAGATGGCTGAGATGAACTGTGATAGGAGTATTAGCGAGATCATCCACATATTGGATGATAGCGTAATACAAGAAGCTTCCTCGCAGCCAAGGACAACGACGACCCCGGCCACTCCTGCACAGTTCACCACAACCAGCCAATCTGCCATGTTCACCGCGACCACCCAACCAGCTTACTACACCACGACCACCCAACCGGCTTACTACACCACGACCACCCAGCCAGCTGTCATATCCATGGCAACCCAACCAGCTGTGGCAACCACCAGACCCAACGCCACCCAGCCAGCTGTCACCCAGCCCATTTCCACCAGAAGCAACACCAAGAGGGTTGCAAGACCCAGCGACGTCCATGGAGATCTGGATACTGATATGGATATGATTCTCCGGGGTTGCGTCGCAAACCAGAAGGAGGAAATGGAACGGGATGCAGCGGACTGGCGAAAGGGAGTACTCACAAATGCTACAGGTAGGCTGACTATCCTGAAGGGTCAGCGTATGAAAATGTCAAAACGGATAGCCAACTTCAAGAATTTTGTGAGCCTCCTGGTTGAGGATATGGGTTGGGTGGACGTGGATATCAAAAACATAGAAAGTTTGGTTAAGTTGCTTAAATAAATATTTATTCATTACCACTACTATTTTTATTCCATTCAAAAAATACCTATTTGAAAAACTTTCTGAGTCAAAAGATAATAAATGTGAGAGCATCTCACATTAGCTATATATTACTTATTTTTTATTCTTCATGAAAATTCAGTTAAATAGTCTGTCCAATTTACTGATGGTCGTTTGGAAATTATGAGCCTGCGGCGATCTGCGGACCAGGTCATTGAATTTACATTTCAATTAGCCTAGCTCGAGAAGACTCTTCTGTATAATGTCTTGGGTATTTATTAGAATTCAAATGATGCAAAACATATTGCCAGTCATATTTCTTTACATCGACCAGTAGCGTTATTTGTTAAGCGTTACTTATTTGTTATAATTATTGATATTTGCTTCGTAATCTCGTTATTATTATTATTATTATAATTATTATCATTATTAATATTATCCTTATTTTAATTATCATTACACTATTAGTCGCGAAAGAATTAATCTAGGAAATATGTTTTGGATTCAGGACCTTGAATCAAGTCGACACTTTCGTTCTATACAATATAGTCTATGCGCACTCGAAGAATTGTAAACTAGGAACGGTCCATGTCGCCTTGATAACCCAACATACGTTCTGTATCGTCTCTTATACTTAAATCTCTGTAGTCTCTGTCGGTGAGATGTATTGATATGATTTTCTTTTTCATAATGAGTTATAAAATATATTTTCGTAAGTACTGGTAAGGTGTTCCATATCCAGTTGTTAGAATAATCTTTAATAATACTCAAATAAATTTCAATAGATTTTATTGAAGATATCTAGCAAAATATTCATAGATAATAGTGTGCACAAAACATGTAATAAATTTACTTTGAAATGCACTGAACCCACACAGCAATCTTTTGGTTCTTCATTCTTCGAAAGGTTTGCATCATCTTCTGACTTGTATAAAATATCCTTTATTAGATTAGCATACGGACAAATCTTTGAATACTTCAAGTGGTCCTCAATAGGAATATCTCCATGATTCCACATGTGTATTTCAACCCCACATTGAAAACATTCCACAACATCATCCTTTCCTTTGAAATAAAATCCTGCTTTAGCCAGTTCTATAGGTTGTTGATTTCCGGTCCAATTTTTGTATGACAGTAGCCGCTTATCGAATGAATTATACCAAGATCTTGGGATAGAAAAATCTTCGATACACATTCTCAGTACGTTTGAAGTCGATATGACTAGTTTCAATGTATAACTGATGGAAAAATTGAATTTGTTGTTACAACTATATTTATTCGAAATGGGGGGTGCGTTACAAAACTCTCATAGCAAGTGGAGGTCTGGGGGGTGTCGTTACAGAACTCTCATAGCAGGTAGAGGTCTGGGGGGTGTCGTTACAGAACTCTCATAGCAGGTAGAGGTGTGGGAGGTAGCGTCACAGAACTCTCATAGGATTTGGGGCGTTCGTGGGGGGTGCCGTCACAGAACTCTCATAGGGGGTTGGGTGGGGGGTGCCGTTACAGAACTCTCATAGGGGGGTTGGGTGGGGGGTGCCTAGGGTGGGGGGTGCCGTTACAGAACTCTCATAGGGGGTTGGGTGGGGGGTGCCTAGGGTGGGGGGTGCCGTTACAGCCCTCTCATTTATCCCCTACTGGTCAGCAAGGATTTTTGAAAAACTGCAAGAATAAACTACCCCTCTGAAGGGGTGGATCGGAATTATTTTACTGGTCGCATCTATATAATCATATAAAATATTCAAATATGCAATTTGAAAAAAAAAATCGAACCAGAAATGCTTGGTCAGCATACTTTAATAATTTTGGTCAGCAAATTATATTTCCCCAAAGAGGGATTGTTTCTTTTTTAAATAATAATCACATTAAATCATGCTTCTTCGTACCTCCACGTTGATATTGGAAGGATGATCTCTAAATCCACATTCAAATGAAATTGTCTTGCAACAGGAATCAGGTACTAAATTTTTGACAGTTTCATTGTGAATCCAAGAATTGGCAGACCAATCATAAAAACCGAATGATCCACAACAGTGCAACTAAAAATAAATTACACAAAACATTGTGGAGACTAAAGAAGTGGGAGTGACGCTATTCGCGATAGAAAATAAGCATGCGCCACCTATCGGAATTTTTGAAAGCTGTCAAAGCGGTTTGTTCACTTTGTTTTCATTGGTTCACATTTGTCTTTTGCTTGTGATTATTGGTTAATCATTCAAAGCAAACTGCTCAGAAGTGTTCAAGTTGTTGCCGTCAGATGGGACGTGTTATTTTCTATCGTGAATACCCTGAGGATCTCAATCCAAAAGGATACTCTTGATAAACTGGAGGGTAAAAAACCTGCTCAAGATTATTGTGACCATTATACACTTACATTTTCTTGAATGTAGTCAATAGAATCGGTTTTTGAATCATCACTTTTGTACGAATTGACTATTGTTTCTTTGAAATTTACTTTCATATCTTCTGCTATGTTTCCTTGATAAACAAATGCCAGTATGCATATCAACACTTCACACAAGAATATTGCCACCAATAAAATTATATACTGGAAAAAACATGAAAATAAAAAAAAAGTATCCACTGTTTCGGTAGTTTTCCTCTATCCTCAGAGCTACATGAAAAAATATAACAGGGATAGAAGAGGCTTCAGAAACAATAAGAATTAATGGGGTGCGTCATCCTTTCAAATTTTCTTATAACTTTGTGCTCATATTCAAAGTTTGATTTTAATAATTATTTAATAATCAGTAGGTAACATGCGTGAGTAGACTTTTCGGTATATTGTAATTGCGCGCAGCGGTCAAATAACTCCTGCATTGTAATGTAGTCAAATAAATATACTCTACTCTACTCTACTCTGGAGTACTGAAATTTGCCCTTAACCTTTTACCGGTCCACTTCTGATAAAGCCAAAAAACCATGGGCTATTTTAGGTACCATGTGACCATATGGTCACATTATATTCAGAAGTGTTTATTCTCAAATCCCCGAAGTTCATCGATTCACGCGCAACGAAACCATTCGTTAAAAAACAAGATTAGGAGAGACTACCCACAAACAAATCGATTTCGCGCCATCTTTGGCTGGCAGTTCGACTTTTAATGATTTGTGTTTTTCCAGTTTAAGCTGGTTAAGTTGTGTTGTATGTTTAGAAGTGTTTGGAGAAAGTATAGACCCTTTTCTTTTGTAGAATGGATATTTTCCTTCGTTATATCATCTATTTATTAGGCCGAGTTAGGTTAGATTATCTAGAAAAAGTAGTCTTCTTTCTTATGCACGAAGGATATTTTCCTTCCTTATATTATGTAAATATTAAACCGAGTTAGGTTAGATCGTTTTAAAAAAGGAGTGTCCCTTTCTTATGCAGAAATAATAATAAGGATACCTATTTTCCTTTACTATGTTATCTATACAGGGTGTTTCGTAATATTTGAGGCGCACTTCGAGAGGTGATAGGGCGTCTCAATAAAATAAAGAAGTTCCTTTAAACAAAAGTCGTAGTAGGCTTCGTTTGCGAGATACAGGGTGTTGAAGTTGAAAATAAAAAATCATATTCATTGAATTTCTAGAAAACCGCTAAACAAAAATTCTTGATATTCTGGTGCATAACTCAGTATCTAAGTGATTGAATGGGTGGCATCATTCAGAAAATCTGACTCCCAGTGGCACCGTTAAGGGGTATTGATGTGTGATTAATTAAAAAAAAATGGGTGGCGAAGAAACTTTTCGAAATTTTAATCGAGAATATAAAAGAGGGTGCAATTTTGTTTATGGGAACTTTTTTATTTTCTTGAGACGCCCTATCGATCACCTCTCGAAGTGCGTCCCACATATTACGAAACACCCTGTATATTAGGCCGGGTTATGTTATAGATTTTTTAGAAAATATAGTCTCCATTCTTAGGCAGAAAGGATGTTTTTCTTCCTAATATTATATATTAGGCTGAGTTAGGTTAGATTGTTTGGAAACAGTAGTCTCCTTTCTTTCAGAGAAAGGATAATATTTTACTATCTAAAATTACTGAATTTTCCGTTCAAAACATATAAATAAAACTTCCGCATACTATAGTTTCGGACTTAGGCCATATGTTATGTTTTATGTAATAGATTCTTTAGAAAGTCTCCATTCTTAGGCAGAAAGGATATTTTTCTTCCTAATATTATGTATTAGGCTGATTTAGGTTAGATTGTTTGGAAACAGTAGTCTCCTTTCTTTTGTAGAAAGGATCATTTCACATTTTACTATCTAAAATTACTGAATTTTCCGTTCAAGATATAAAAATTAAAAATAAAACTTCCTCTTACTATATTTTCCGACTTTGCACGCAATCGCTGCATCATACTTTTTTGAGACTTGCGCGCAATTATTGCACATGTGATTCGAAGTCAGGACACCCTGATTTATGCTCAGATTTTTAGATATATAGGCCCGTTTACTCATTTCGCCCTGAAGATATGGAATAGGAACTCTACCAAAAAGTTGAAATGTAAAAAAAAGTTTTGGACGTTATTTTGATGAAGAAAAAAAATACTCACACAAAATAATAATTTAGTCCATCGTTTTGGTATTGCACAGCATCCTAAAAAGAAAACTAAAATGACTAGACAACCCACAACTAAAAATAAGTAGACAGTAGATGTGAATACATGGTTATCCAGCACTCTTGTAAAGTGAAAAGTTATCATGAAGTTCCAAGAGCCCAGCACACATATTGCAACTCCTGTAATCTAAAAAATAAAAAAATAGAACATTAGTCATATACAGTGTGGCCACCTGAAGGACTTACCACTCCTGTAAAATCTTCATTGTTTGATCGATTTCGAAAAACTTCCTTTTTGTTGGATACGTATTTGAAATGTCCAACCAGCAAGAGAGTGATTTTATTGTTGGACTGATATCGTGGTCAAATCTGCGACCAATTTTATTGACCCATATTTCAGAAACTACTATTAGGGATTTTTTCTCACAAAAAATAATGAAGGATTCTGAATCGGGACAGATAATGTATGTTCAATGTAATCCTCAAAAATAATTTGTCTTTAGTTCATTATTCCAGTTTTTTTTGGGATTTTCTCTCGTTTCTATAAAATAAAAATATGAATATTATTTCAATATACGTGTAGTAAGGACAAATCAGATGATTTGCCCCAAAATGTCACTGCGTTTGATGAATTTTCCCATCAGAGAGCCTAAATGAAAAAGTCACTAGCTTGTCAGTGACAATTTGTATTGAGAAAGGTTTGGAGAAGAGAAATAAAGGTATATACAAAATATATCAAATTTTCACTTAGCTTTGGACGTTTCGGGAACGAATCTGCTCCCGTTTTCAACATAAAAAATGGATATTTGATATATTTTCTATATACCTTTATTTCTCTTCTCCATACCTTTTTCAATACAAATTGTCACTAAAAAGCTAGTAAATTTTTTTTTAGGTTCTCTGATAGGAACATTCTTTAAACGCAGTGAAATTCTGGGGCAAATCATCTGATTTGTCCTACACGTATATTGAAATAATATTCATATTTTTATTTTATAGAAACGAGGAGAGAAAATCCCAAAAAATCTGGAATAATGAATGTACTACCTCCTCGATTAACCTACAGACAGTATTTGTCATTATATAGTTCTTTCCAAAAATACTATACATTTTCTGATCATGTTTAAAAAAAATAATATTCCGTTTTTTTCGGACACTCTGTGTTCGATGATGATGAAAATCGGTACAGGTATGTTTCGAGTGATCCTGATTCAGAATTATCATTATTTTTTGTAAATTGAATCCCTAATAGTACTTTTTGAAATATAGGTCAATGAAATTGGTCGCAGTTGGCCAGTCCAAGAATAAAATCACTTCCTTATGTTGGATGGACATATCGAATACCTGCCTATACAACAAAAGAAAGTTTCCGAAATAGATCAGATAATGAAGATTTCACAGGGGTGCTAAGTCTTTAAAGTGGACACACGTATGTCAGGTTGTGAAATGAAGATGAAAAAACTCACCAAGAGTAAGACTTGAAAAATGTACAATATAATCTCTATCACTTTCGGTCCACAACATTGTGATCCCATTTCGTGAAATCATCAAAACCAATTTCCTGATACAAGTACATGGAATAGCTGAAAATATATTTCGAACTGAAATCAAGAAAATTTTATTTTTAGACGCTTATTACACATTTACACGTAACTGGCTATTTGTTTACAATTTCAATCTCGATCTATGCAAAAGAGTAGGTAGAAGCAACAAGCAGCAGACTTCTTTTCCAAAATAAACTTCTGAGTAGGTAGGGTAAACCTCTTATAATCACAACAAATAAAGATTAATAAGGAATAATAAATTAACATAACATTGAATTTCACGCTATTTCGATACTTGGTAACTTTCAACTCTGATTGGTCCCCTAATAAAATGTTCCAAATTTCCGAATTTTCAGATATTTGAAGGATTTAACGCAACTGGGTCTCAACTCTGAAGGGTTGTTCAAAATAGGCGAACTTAGTTTCGACACAATAATCTGTATAATTCGTTTGAATTTGGAAAATGCAAAACGATTCTCGTGGCTGAAATGTTGAACACTGATGGAAGTAGGTAGGTATCTAAAATAATTGTATGAGCATATAAAGAAAAAATACGAAAGATTTTTGTACATTAATTTGTACAGAGGTGATAGAGATTTGCAAAATAAAAGTATTGAAAAGGAACATTCTCAGGGATATATACAGGGTGGGCCACCAGTAACGCCTCGGTCTCTAGAAGGCTAACCACTTATCTTCTTGGAATCCTTCCTCTCTAGGAAGTTGCATGTCAACATAGGCTACCATTTGAAATTATTTTGAAACATACAGGATGTCCCCAAAAATCACAAAACACTGAAGTTGAACTTTCTTCAATCGAACACCCTATATATTATTTCATTTTGAGATTCTCCCTGATGAGCTGATTTCAACGACCCATCATACTTGGGGTCTAGCAGTTATAATTACTGAAATATAGGGGGTGTGAAAAATCAAGATTTTCCAAGTTCAAGAATTTTTTGTGTCTAAACCATTCATAATTGGTCAAAACGGCTCACATGTCCCTATCTCAACTTTTGATCAACTATCTACTGACATTTAATTGAAACAAATACAGGGTGGTGCAGAATTCAGAATCTTGATCACCCGGTATATGTCCCAATTAAATATCAGTAGATAGTTAATCAAAAGTTGAGATAGGGACATGTAAGCCGTTTTGACCAATTATGAATAGTTTCGACACAAAAAATTCTTGAACTTGGAAAATCTCGATTTTTCACACCCTATATTTCAGTAATTATAACTGCTAGACCCCAAGTATGATGGGTCGTTGAAATCAGCTCATCAGGGAGAATCTCAAAATGAAATAATATATAGGGTGTTCGATAGAAAAAAGTTTAACTTCAGTGTTTTATGGTTTTTGGGGACACCCTGTATGTTTCGAAATAATTTTAAATGGTAGCCTATGTTGACATGCAACTTCCTAGAGAGGAAGAATTCCAAGAAGATAAGTGGTTAGCCTTCTAGAGACCGAGGCGTTACTGGTGGCCCACCCTGTATATAAAGAAATACATTGAGAATTCGCATTCTCTATATATGTGATGAAAATATCCACTCTTCTCGGTTTATTCAACAGAAAACAACAACTTTCCTGGCTATATGCCACGACGAACAATGAATTACATCTATAGAATGTTATTTTTATAGACCTCAATCGCAGATTCGTGATTAGGTTTTCTCAATTCAAAATTTCTTCCCCGTTCTGTATGATGAATATCAATTTATCATACATCAAAACAAAAAAAAAATAAAAGTTTTTTTCTCAATGAACATACCTCCGAAAATGCATAACCTAATTACAGGGCGTTTAAGTTCGATTAGAATAAAGTTTACTATTTCATAAGTACCTTTATAAAACGCTATTTTTTTCGAAATTTCAGACGAATACTTTCTTTTACAATACCATAAGCAATTCAGAAATTAGTGATTTTCTCTAAATAAATATCCTATAGCGGCGCATAAGGATTCCTATTTTTGGCTGTAGAAGTCCACATATTTTACGAGTCACCTCTCGAAATGACCACCCTGTATAATTACCAATTTAATTATTAGTGTAGCATTGCTAAATTGGAATTAAGTAAAATGAGAACACCTCTTAAATCGATAAATCTCTTATTATTCTGTGAAATTATTCTCATTTTATAAGTTAAGAACGAATTTAATGAGTAAAATAAACATTCTACAACAGTAGATGCATTAGGGCCATTGGCGGCGGAGGGGGGAGGCTAATCCACCCCAAAACATTGTTTAGCCCACCCCAAATCACATAACAAGAGAGATTCAGTCAACTGTCTCTTCTCCACATGAACAAAAGTTCAACCACACAAATGGACCAGCAGATATTTTGGACATATTTGCATAAAAAATTGGAAAACTGTCATTATAATTTATGATATTTTGTTTACTTTTATTTTTAAATTTTTAGGACTTGTTTTCTTACCTCATAGAAAATATAAAATTTTCTTCAACTGAATCTATTAGTATACAGGGTGAGTCGGAAGGAACGCACCAAACTCCAGGTGTGTATTGTACAGTGTGTCCAGTTTTCGATGCTTTTGTGTGATATTTCAGTTATCTTTCGAGATAGAACCTTGCGGTTTTCGCGGTCCTGTACCACTTTTCTGTGAAACTCAAGATGGCCTAATCAGATTTTGCATAACTTTTCCGTTTATGAGATACAGGGCGATTTTGAAAATTTATACTTTTTGGACCCCCTCTATATCTACGAAGTTTCTCAGCAAAAATGTCAAATTCGAATCTCATCCCATATGAAAGTTTACGCAGAGTACAGTGGTGCACTCAAAATTTTGTTTCGGGGTATGGTTTTGGAGATACGACTCAAACTTATATGGTTTTTTAAATGGAACACCCTGTATTTTATAAGCTCATAAAATTCCTCATTTTTTTCTCTTCAAAATGATTTATAATGTATGTATATGAAATTTTCAAAAATGCTCTGAAATCACTGAAACATTGAATTTTAATTGTGGGCTATGGATTTTTCTTATAAAAAAGTTCCAATTGAAGAAATATTCATTTTGATTTTTCCATAAAGGGGACAAAAACAATACCAACACTAATTAACTAAGAAAACACAAAAATTATGTACCTGATAGCAACAAATAAATAGCAATAAAAAGTTCATAATGTAGAATAAGCACCAGATTGAATATTTACAAATACAATTGAATTTCGGAATTATTCCATAACTTTTCTACTGAATTGTTCAAATTGATGTCCATTTTCCATAACACACAATTGACACATTTTCTCAATACGTCTTGATACAGTAAGAGTCACAAATATCTTGAAGAACTTCGTGCAACAACAGAGGAAGTTTTCCAGGAATTACAAAGACATCCTTTAATGATTTTGAATGCATTAAGCTTAAATTAAGACGTATTGAGAAAGCGTGTGATGGAAAGTGGATATCAATTTGAACAATTCAATGAATAAGTTACTGATTAATTTCGAAATTCAATTGTCTTAGTGAATATTAAATCAGGTGCTTATTCTAGAATATGAACTTTTTATAACCCTTCATTTGTTGCTATCAGGTACCTAATTTTTGTGTTATCTTAATTAACTAGTGTTGGGATTGTTTTTGTCCTTTTCATGGAAGAATCAATTGAAATATTCTTCAATTGGAACTTTTTTTAAATGAAAAATCCATAGCCCACTTTTAAAATTCAATGTTTCAGTGATTTTGAAGCATTTTTGAAAATTTTATACATATTCATCATATTTCATTTTGATGGGGAAAAAATAAGGAATTTAATGAGCTTATAAAATACATAGGGTGTTCTATTTGAAAAATCATAAGTTTTTGAGTCGTATCTCCGAAACCATACCCAGAAAAAAAAATTTGAGTGCGCCACTGAATTCTGCGCAAAATTCTGTATGGGATAAGATTCCAATTTGACATTTTCGCTGAGAAACATCGTAGATATAGAGGGGGTCCAAAAAGTATAAATTTTCAAAATCGCCCTGTATCTCATAAACGCAAACAGTTATGCAAAATCTGATTAGGCCATCTTGAGTTTCACAGAAAAGTGGTACAGGACCGCGAAAACCGCAAGGTTCTATCTCGAAAGATAACTGAGATATCACACAAAAGCATCGAAAACTGGACACACTGTACACGTAAAAAAATGTTTTTTGAACCCATATGTTCTTATACGATTTTCCTCTGTTTTCATTCTAAATTTGAATAGATGTGTGTGGCATTTTATAAGACTTCAATCGTACAAACTCGATTGTTTCGTCCGTTTTGTTGTTCTGACATTTGTTATAGCGGTGTTTGAAGCGTTTATTTTCGAGTTTGTACGATTAATCACATCTATTCAAATTTAGATGAAAACAAATGAATATCGTATGAGAACATACTTATGGGTTTAAACTATTTTTTTTTCTTTCACAATGCACACCTGGAGTTTGGTACGTTCCTCCCGACTCACCCTGTATAATACAAACTCTAAAGTCCGAAAATGACAATCATTTTTATGATATTACATTAGAATCATTTGAGTGCTGCAGAAAAATTATGTTCACATTCAACCGCCAATGGTTTAGGGCTACTAAATATCAATCAAAGATCAAGTCATTGTTGTTTTTTTTTGAGAAATAGTGTACCTACGTTTCTACTTGTCACAAATGGGGGCCGACGTACAGGGCGATACAATAAATGCAAATAAGTAGCTGATTAAAAATCCACCTCAACGAACATGTAACTATTACACATGAATACTTTTTTATGAAAATACGTCCTTCACAGTTTGAAGTATCACTGGTAACTATCAGGTAGATTTTTAATTTTCAAGTAGGGTCGGGAATGTACATACCTATATTTAGGGATCCTATTTTAATGGGTTGTTATGGTTCGAATTAATATTTACGTATACCCCCGTTGAACTTTATCGGAATGTTTAGTTTTACGACTCAATTTCAAGTTGATTTTGGACTTATGCTAATGCTCTTATCAGTATTATATCTAAGCCTCTCGAGTTTAATTAGTCCTGCGTATACACATTATGGAATAAACATGCTTTATGTATAATATTCAGGGTCCTATTTTAGGAATGATAGTGATGAATATATTATCACTCATACTACTACGAGAGATTCAATTATTACCGGAAATGTTTTCAAGCACACGAACATTTTCGGTTTTTAATTGTAGCTAAAGTGGTATTCGGTGAAAAAATTTCACACCGAAACATTAATTAAAAAATACTAGGATAAGATTACGCTATAAATAAAAGTCATAAATCCGACTTTGGATACGCAAAATATTGATAAGGCTGCTGTTGGTAGTTCAAACCATTATGCTTGACTAACTTCATTGCACTAAAGTTAGGGGGGGGGCATATTTTGTTACAATGAACTGGAAGCAATATAATAAAATTCACATCTACACAACATTACAGGATATCCTTTTTCGTGGGAACCAGAGCATAGAAAAAAAAGAAAAGATTATCGCTGTACTTGTCAGAATGAATCACTCATTTCTATAATAAATGCTGTTTATGCTTCCTGAACGTGAAATAGTCTAACAGAATACCACTCTGTTCTGAATATCTTCTCATAAGTCTGTCTTCCATTGTTAACTCAATTGTGTTCCCGTATAGCAATTCCACTCGTCCAGACGAACTCGTTAACAATGAAGCGACAGAATTAACTCGAATATTCATAACATCCTGATAATACTTATGATAACGCTCACTTTGAGCCAAGAACTTTCGGAAGCAGATTTTTTCCTGAAATTAAGAAGGCTCTGAAGATCCTTGTTGCTTTACCTTGTAAGACTTGTACAGTTGAAAGGTCATTTAGTAGCCTTCGGAGAATCAAAACCTGGTTGAGAAGCACCATGTCTGAAGCTCGAATCAATGGCTTCACAATGATGAGTGTACATAGGCAACATATTTTCAAAAACTTGAACGATTTCGTCAACAAAATGACCAACAATTCGCAACGAACCCTAGAAGATTAGTTTCTAATTGATTTTCTATATAGAATTTTTTCCGTGTTTCAATTTTTCTCATTTGATTTTTTTATGGTGCCCCCCCCCCTAGCTTTCCGGATGGCGACGCCTTTGTAAGTAAACAACTTTAGTTAGATGAAATAATTAGAAATGTAGCTGAAATTAATAGAAATATATTTTCTTACAAGGAACTCATCAAACTAATAGAATGAAGTTGATTAAATGCAAATATCAAAATATTTCTAGTGTAATTTTATGTTCCTTGCCCCAAGGAGGAGGAAAACAATTTCCGGAAATTTGTTTAGTTGCTGTGGCAACGATACAACATACAAGCTTTTAATTGGTCGAAAATATTTGGTGTGAAATATTCGCACTGTCGGTCTAAGACTTTTAAGGCCCGGGGCGATCTTTGATTTTGGGCCCCCTGGCGCCCATAGATTTGAATATTTACTGAATTAAACACAATGCAGATGGAAACTCAAACTTTTTTAATCAATATTTTTACAACGTTGCAAACAGCTTTACAAGTAAAAAACAAGCAATGACACTATAAAAGTAATCGAAATAAATTATACTAATCTCAAATTATGTTTTCTAGCTTTCAATACACTAAACTTATTAATTACATCATCAAAATCCAAAACCGACGCTGCAATATTACAACGCGATGCGTATTCTAAACTATATCAAATAGGTGTCAGAGGGATATCACGACATCAATGGGTTCAGTCGTATTTGGGAGATCGAAACCAAAATGTAAAAATAAACTATGTTGATGAAAATACCAGATCATATTTTTCGAATACTCTGCATAACGATATTGGGGTTCCTCAAGGATCAATCTTAGGTCCAATATTGTTTTTATTGTATATCATCGAATTACCCTCAATTATTTCAGAAGCATTCACATGCATGTATGCAGACGATTCCACATTATTATTCACAAGTAAAAATGAAGCAGAAATCCAAGATAAAATAAACCGAACAACGTCCATCTTATGTACTTGGTTGAGTGATAACTCTCTGTTTCTGAATCCCACAAAAACTACACACTTTCCAAAATCATAACCTGTCGAAGCTAATGGTTAGTATCAATGATACCAAAGTAGATACAACAATATATCTTTTAGTATTCACTGCAGTAAGCTGAGCAAATCAATGAATTCAAAATGTTACCAAATCAGGGTACTCAGAAATGTTTTGGATAATCGAGGTCTGAAACAATATTACTTTGGTCAGATTCAGTCTAGATTATCATATGGAATAATGTTATGGGAAAACTCAACAGGAGTACAGGACGTATTCATTTCTCAAAAAAGGATCTTTATAGATCGATTGCAGGAGTATCATCTACATTCTCATGTCGTAGCCTCTTCAAAAAACTTGAAATTTTACCACTGGTTGGACTTTTCATTCTGGAACTCTTAGTTTAGAAATTCTTTCACAAGAAATCGATCCTTTCACGAACATAATACGAGAACAAGAAATGATTTTCATATCCCTAACACACACCTCACACTTTGTATGAAGTCATATAAAATTCTGGGACTGAGATTATATAACGTTCTTCCCGATGCCTTGAAAAATATCAACTCAGTTCATTGCTTCAAGAAAATGTTATGTAAGTTACTTTTAGAAATTAGCCCATACCATCCCATACACAATAGCTGAATTTTATGAATATCTTAAATGAATTCAGAAGTGTGTTAGCACTTCCTTTTTTTTTTCAATAGTCTTGTGTAGTAAAGTGTATATGTGATGAATTTGTGTACCTGGTGTTAAGTGTATTATTTGTTATATTTAATTTTAATTAGTTTTAGCCTTTGACCTGTCCAATAGCCATGTGAGCTCATTAAATGGATTAAATTTTTTATCTATCTATCTATCTAGTGCTGCGTTGCCGCCGTCCCGGTGCCGCTGCCTCGGAGACTGTCAGAAACCTGTATTTTCATTATGAACCTGTAGCGGGGCCCACATGATTGACTTGATCTACGACATCCGTCTCGCAAGAACTATTTTTTTAATTTTTTTTCTATGCTAAATAACCGGGCCCCCATAGGTGTGGGGCCCGCGGCGGACGGCCTGCCGCACCCCCTTTAGTCCGTCAGTGAATATTCGATTCAATTTTTTGATTTGATAATCATCTAAACCACATAGGTAGGTAATTTAACTCAATTTAGAAACACATACGGAAATGCAGGAAACAACAAAAACTACGAAAGTATATGTTTGTACTATTTATTTCTTTTTTATTATTCTAGTGGTTGTATATGTGATAATAAAATATACAATGTTTTATATAACGAAATGTACAGTAGTGGGTATAATGTTCAATTAAAATTAATATTTCATTAATACATGTGTAAAAAATATGAATAACTATGAAAACACAATTATGGTATACAAATTGGAATAAATAAAATAATGAATCTCAAAAATAACACTGATGTGTACATAGTAAATCAACATTAGTTCGTTCAACTCTGAAAATAGATAAAATATTCGCCTACTTAATTTATAATGTACATGATGTTCTTTATCAATATTAGCATCAAACTTTCTCGATTTTTTCACTGAAAAACCATAGGTAGACGATAAAAATCAAATGAACATGTAGGTATCTGATAATTTTCATTATCTTAAGTACCTATTCTCAAAGTCACGGCAAAGAAAGAATGAATAAATAAATGAAAATGACTAAATATAGAGGCGAGAAAAATAACAAATCAATCGAATTTCAATAATAAATCATCAAACAATTAGGTAAAGAAGAAGCATTCTGTAGAAGATTTCTCAAATAATTTGACACCACAATATTTTAAATCACATTCATTATCGCAATAACCTACAAGTTAGATTATACAGACTGTTTTATAAATGAAGCTAGATCAGTCAACCGCAAGCTGCAACTACGAAATTTGTATCCGAAGTGGACAAAATTAATTATCATTTTGTAGTTTGTAGTAATTTTCGAAACAATATTCTGTTTTTTTATCGTTACAACTTGCGGCAATTTTCATAAGACATATAAATAATAGGTAGGTACTGATAAATCCGGTTCATTATCGAGGATAATTAATATGTATATAATTTCTAATTTAGTTGCATTCCTTTCCATACTATCAATACGATTTCATACATCCGTAATTTTATCAATTCCTTTCATTAACATATCATTGTTTAAATAAAAAAGCAAGCAATTTGGACTGAATCACTGAATCTCTAGTTAATATCTGCCTTGTCCTTGTATATTTGATGACACAATCTCATACCTATAGCTGCCCATCAGAATATCATAGTAAATGAAATGAATACCCGGTAGAGTTGACGATAAATTCTCTATCAAATTTCCAGACGATGAAAAATTAAAGGAACTAGTTTTTTTCCCTGGGAAAGGTAGAAATATCAGTTCATACTTCATTATTATGGTATTGAAAAGTTTTGTTTCTCTGTGAAATAAATACTTCAGTTCAGACAGTTTTGATTGCTAATAAGTGGCTGTTTTGTGAGTTTATATTTCATCTATCTCAATCAGGACACAGCCTTTCCTCCATTCAATATATACAATCTTTACTTTCACTATAGTCTCGTATTTTCAGGCAAGACCTCAATCGAACTGTTTCAATGTATCTTCCAATTTGGAAACTACATTTTTGTAGAAGTTCAGCTGTTCCTGCAAAAACTCTTTCATTGTTAGTCTGAGATCGGTGTCCCTTTCATTTTGAAAGTGATGCAGCTCCGCAAAAACTGTATAGGTCAGAGTGTCTGTTCTATGCCTGACCTCACTCAAAGCCACCTAAAATACAAGTATTCATAATATACAAAGTGGCATAGTTATGACCAGAGCACACTCAGGAAATCCATATTTTACAAATGACAACAACTTTTTTCAGCGTCTTATTATTTATGGAGATTTCAGACAAAATCTGAGAATCGGCAACATTGTCAGCAAAAAATAAAATATAACATGCCTTATAAAAATGTTGATAGAATGTTCAAGGAAACATTTGATTTTGAAATTTCTCAATAAATTTGGTGGAACATTAACTTTGAAATTCTGTTTGGTGGTGCTTTTAGTGATTGTCATTATCAATTACAGTATCTTATTTCAGTGTCACTTCGCTAACTTCATAATCTAAAACAATTGAAATTGTATAAGTGAAACACATATATTTTCTAGAGCGAAAAACGCAAAAGCCCTTAGGATAGTCAGAAAACCTGAAACTACAAAATTTTATGTTCATTTTATTGAAACTTACAGTTTTGAGAAATTTTGAAATAAAATCTTCCCATTCAACACTCTGTATCTCCAAACCTAGCATTTTGATGAGACATAATGTTTACTACCTGTAGTTCAGAGATTGCCCATTCTTTGAGAATCACCCTGTATATAGTATACTTTTGTAGATTCAGGAATAATGAAAATGAAAAAAAAAAGGTGAAAATTTGGATTTCTGAGTTATAAATTTGTATTTCTGACAGAAACCAAAGATCTCTACTTTTTTGTGGACTGAAATCTCCATGAAAAAGAGTGCATGACATTTTGGAATCATCTCAATTGATGGCTACTGAATCCAGTAAAAATTTTCCAAAAAAAAAAACGCTGATATTTAGTCATTATTGACAATTTGATGCTTTCGGCCGAAAAATTGTTGAAATTGAAATACTTAGAATAGCTTGTTAAATTCAAATTAGATGAAAAATGTACCTGAGGAACTTGAGAATTTCTCTCGCATTCTTTCTTCTTTTGTTCGGCCAGTTTTTGCATATTCAAGACATCTGGCAAATTCCCGGTTATACCCTTGTATATATACAGTTTATCAAACAACGGTTGCCAGTCTATTTTACCCTGTTCTTCGTACAACTTTCCGATAGTCATGTAAGTTGAACCTATACTTTTAACATCTGAAAAACGAAAAAGATCCTGCAGAAAACAGTTAATACCCCATCAAGTGCGGAAAATGTCGACATTAGGATTATTTTATCATAATATGTAATACCACAAGTGATACTATTACTGTCGAACCGTAGGAGAGAAGTTTGGGAACAATGTCATAAGCCAAATTAAAGCAGCAAGCTGGAGTATGTCAATCGACGAATATTTCCGGGAAAAATAGTATCACCAGTTGTATTCGTATGAGTATTCCATGATTGAGACAATAAACGAGCGGCTCGCGAGAGTTGCGCACACTGCATCCATCATTCTGGCTTCCAACATGATTGACGTTTTAAACATACAAAATTTTATTGCTGAAAAACAAGGAAGGTTTGTCACGTGTGAGTCAATTCGGATTCTGCATTGATGGAGCAAGTCCGATAAAATTTAGTAAACAAAAAAAAAATAGCTGCAATACAGAAGAAACCGTGAGAATGGCCGATTCTGATTGATTCTATGGACCAAGAGTGGAATAGTCACTGAAATTAACACACATTTTGCTACAATAACACTACAAACCTAGATCATTTCTTGACCACTTTTATGTTAGGTCATAGTCGTCATGTGACCGATCATTCAATCTGATTTCCAGTGAATCCAAATTTGATCTTACTTACATCAAGTTTTCTATATCACGAAAATCACAAAGCTCTAGGTGGCGCTGATCATTTTATGTTTATGGGTCGCCTGGTTTGGCCTATATATGTTTTATCACAATCATTACAAGTTATTTCGTATTTTCCCGACTTTTCAAGTATGCCCACTTTATCTTTCGGATTGCCTAATAAATTGCCTAATTTTGACCCAGACTGATAAACGCTTTCAAAACCTGAGTCTTTGAAAACCTTATCAAGTCCCTTCGTATACTTGGAATTGAACGGGATTGGGATTCTTCTAGAGTTCTTTTTATCCACTTGAAAAGTCGTAATTTCGAAGTGATAACTTAAATTTATGTCTATGTATTAATTTATCTACTATTTTGATATCACAGCCATTGACGCCAGCCACTTTATAAACAAGGTTCAAAGAACACATAGCACATTCGAAATATGGCAGGTTAGATAATTCGGGTGTAGCCGAACATATGTTCAATCACAATCATAACACACATATTACTAACCTCAAATTAGTTAGGCAAGTTAATAATATTAGAAAATTAGACGCATATGAAAGCTTAGAGATATTTTAAAATAGTAATAGAGTAATGAATAAGGATAATGGACCTTTTCCACATAGCCCTCTATATAGTTTAGTAATTTAAAAAGTTAGATTAATATGTGAACTCAACCGTGACGAACATTAACTTGACGGTTAGTATTTTTCACGGTTGGGAGAACATATACCTAGTATATAAGGAGCACACTAGAACAGGATATTTAGTTCTAATCTCCTACTGAAGATGCTAACATAGTTAGCGTAACACGTGTCGAGGCGATTAAAAAATCGGTTTGGTTAGTGGTCTTCGATACCTTCAAGGATATCTGGCGAAATTTTGGGATTTTCAACTGACAAAAACCTCACGCTCTAGTAACGCCAGAAAATGTTAGCCCTTATTTCAATGAAGCAGTGGTAGATTTTAGCTCCAGGTTCTGTTGTCAAAAAACCGTGAGCTAAAATTTAATATTTTTCCCGTGTATAATACACTATTTGTTTCTGTGACAGAAGAAAGGACGAATCAATATTGAGAAGATATCACATTATTTTGAAATCTGAAAATTATCGACGTGAAATTCTAAGTTTTTAACAGTAGGGACCCTGCGTCATAGGCATCTCAATCATTCTTTTGAAGTAATCAAATATCTGATGTCACTTTGTCAGTATAATTATGTGATTTGATTTAAAAAAATTGCGAATTTAGTGGTTGTTTAGTAGTAAACGTAACCGTGAAGTTGGAAGATAAAAGGACATGCAGTTCTTTCTCGGAGACGGTATTATTGACTCATTTTTCGGAACTATAGCACAACAAAAGCCATCAACAGTGTATATATCCCACGGGAAAAAAGTAATTTATGAAAAGTGACATTTTATAACCTGCCAACAGAGATGAAATGCCAAACTTTTTTCCCGTCACAGAAAAATAGTTATTCATTATACAAGGGAAAAAAGTAGTAGATTTTAGCTCCAGGTTGTGTTGACAAAAAACCGTGAGCTAAAATCTAATATTTTTCCCGTGTATAATACACTATTTTTTTGTGACAGAAGAAAGGACGAATCAATATTGAGAAGATATTACATTATTTTGAAATCTGAAAATTATCGACGTGAAATGTTAAGTTTTTGACAGTAGGAGACCTGCGTTGTAGGCATCTTTATCATTCTTTTGAAGTAATCAAATATCTGATGTCACTTCTGTCAGTATAATTCTGTGATTTGATTTCAAAAAATTGCGAATTTAGTGGTTGTTTAGTAATATACGAAACCGCGAAGTCGAATGGAAGATAAAATGACTTGCAGTTCTTTCTCGGAGACGGTATTATTGACTCATTTTTCGGAACTACATAGCACAACAAAAGCCATCGACAGTGTATATATATGTGATATATATCTGGGAAAAAAGTACTCACAAGTAATTTACAAAAAGTGACATTTTATAAAATGCCAAACTTTTTTCCCGTCACAGAAAAAAAAATAGTCCTTGATGTTTTTTATTCATCGACTTACCGACCGAAGCCTTGGAATACATGCCCTGCTGATTGAACTCGAACGCCGATCCCAACGCGAAAAAACACTCTCCGATCCGGCTAAACTCCCGCTTGTACATGTTGGTGCACTTCTTCTGCTGGTCCTGCGCCGTCTGCATCAGGTTCTTGATGCACTGGTCCATCTTGGCCACGTAGTTCATCGTGTCGTCGATTTTGGGCTCGGCCAGCGAGGAGAGGATTTCTTTGTCGGGGGCTTCGACGCACGCGCAGAAATTCGCGCCTACCAGTTGGTCCTTCTCCGCGTTCCGCTTACCTGGATTCAGTGATGAGTAGAGTCACTGGATGGTATTAGTTTGATGAGAGTTCGGACACAGCTGAACTTCTGTCCTTTTCAATTTTCTATATTACAATGGTTTGAGTGAATAAAAGAATAAGACATATATTCTGCTCTTTGTCTTCTCAATTCCCTTAGTACCGCCTGTTACATATATAGCATGGGATACTATATCCAGGCCTACGCAGATGACATATATAGTCATCCTGATCGATAGTAGGGGGTTCACTCACAGTCGGAGACAGGCACAACAGGCCCTGGACAGGGTGGACCGCTGGTGTCGTGGCACGGGACTAAGAGCTAGCCCTGAAAAGGCGGAAATAGTACGTTTCACCAGAAAACTCTAGGCAGGGGATCTCCCCGATATACGACTATCGGGTAAGTCCCTGCGATATGAAGGCTCCACCAAATATCTAGGAGTCATTCTGACTCTAGGCTCAATTGGAACGAGCATATTGGGAGGAAGGTCCAGAAGGTTACGGCAGCGTTCTGGGCGTGCAGGAGGACGTTTGGGGGAACGTGGGGGCTCAAGCCAAGTATCCTTCACTGGATGTATACCGCTCTCATACGTCCAAAGATAAGATATGGGGCCATCGTATGGTGGCCGGGGACGCTGACAGGCAAGTCGAGGAGTCAGCTCGACAGAGTTCAACGACTGGCCAGCATATCCATAACAGGAGCAATGAGGGAGGCGCCGACAAGGGCGCTGGAGACTCTGACCGGACTGCCACCTCTGAACCTGTATATAGAACACGAGGCGATGAAGGCCGCCTTCGCTTACAAAGCTGTAACCAGTGAAGAAGCGAAGGAACATACGGACATTCTCGCCTCTGAAAGCAAAGGGGACAGCATAACACCGATCATTCGATTCAGGAAAATGATCCAAGTCAAAATTCCTACTAGGATAGACTGGGAACAGAATGGGCACTGCATAATACCCACCAAGGGCATCATCTGGTATACAGATGGCTCCAGGATCGAAGAATGCGCAGGTGCTGGGGTCTATGGGCAGTCCCCAAGGGCAAATCATTACTATACCCTTGGGAAACATGCCACAATTTTTCAGGCTGAAGTATTTGCAATACTTGCATGTGTTCGAGAGAATATCGAGAGGGGCTATCACAGCAAGCAAATCACTATATGCACTGACAGCCAGGCGGCGATCAAGGCGCTCACCTCGTATAGGGTGACCTCCGCCCTGGTGTCAGAGTGCATAGATAGCCTACAAAGGCTGTCAGCAACGAACAAAGTATGTCTTTTGTGGGTCCCTGGGCACTCAGGGATACCAGGTAACGAAATGACCGATGGTCTGGCCAGAAAGGGGGCGAAGGGTTCAGTGATTGGTCCAGAGCCAATCTCAGGGGTCACTCGATCCTGGAGTAACTTCAGGATGAAGGAAATCCTGACGGAAAGGTTTCATGACAGCTGGAGAGAGGCTGCTGGAATGAAGCAGTCCAAACTTTATTCAATTTTATTATAACCACACTACAAGTTCCATCGCCGACGGCGGATTGAGTGATTGAAGTATTACATTTTGACATCGGTCGGTGGATTCCCTAGGAAACGTAAATACTCAAGAATCGTGGCGACCACACAATGGGGTTGTAAACACTAGTCGAATTTACGCCACATACCTATTTCATATTGATCATTACATGTAAATATATTATTTGATGCAATGATTCCTTATTTGAAATGATTGCAAACATTTTTTTTTTCAATAATTGAATTCGGCGACTTCAAGAAACGCCAGGTTCGATGACGTCATGAACCGAATTCTAGCTCTCTCATGAAAATTAGGACCATATAATTTCGACACTGCCTGATTTGTAATAATAGTAATAACCTTATGAGATTCAATATAACCAATGACAATAGTATTCACATTCACAGAAGACAATAGTCCAACCTGGTCTCTAATAATCACTTATTGAATACTTATAATATATTTGCAAGATGTTTCAGTACCTACCAATACCAATATGCTAGTATTTATTCCTGATAATGTTCGAGATTTTTGAGCTTCAAGCTTTGAAATGATATGAAGATTCAATAATTGAAGATTGTACACTTTGATTTTCAAAACTGGTTGGGAGATTGTATGGTTTGATGCTCAAGAGACAGAGGACTTTGTAGGTTTTGAAATCAAATGTTGTTTTCAGTATCAGGATATCATGAGAGAATGTAATTTTTGAAGCAAAATTATAAATTTATCAAATTCTTCACAACAAAATCTATGGAAAGCGACATGTAGCTCATTTTTCACCAAATATGGATATTGTACACTTTGAAACTATACCCCCAATACAGTTCCTTTGATACCTCAAAACCATCCAGAACATTTTTGAAAAATAATTAATTTGAAAGCATGAGATGAACTTGAGGAGCATGAAGAAAAAACTCCAGAGAAAACTAGTCCATTGTCTCTCTTTGGGGTTGTTTTTTTTTTTCAAATTTACCCATTGGGTTAATTATCCATGGCAAATAATTACCTAATTTCCATTGTTTTTCATCCGTGCAGGTTAAAAAGTGTATCCAAACGTCACAGGTGGACAGGACAGGGTGTCTGCACATGTAGTTGACAAACTCTTGCAGCTGGGCTCGCCGATGTTCAATGAACAGTTCCTCATAGCGACCGGATACCTAAAGTACAGGGTGCACAACTAAGAACGGCTGTAGGCCATATCTCAGCAATGAATAATCATTCAACTTTGAATAAAAAAATATCCCAAGGAAAGTGACCCTAAAAAATAACTGGAAAATATTTTTAGGTCTCTAAAATAACCGCTAGGTGGCGTAACGGCTGAGTAAAGAGGAAATTGAAATATTCTCCCTATTTAGTAGTAACAAGGTATACTGAAAATATATGCAGTTTGATCCATGATAAATTCCTAGTTTTTTTTCTGTTTTACACTTTTTGTCTTATCTCAAGAAGTAAAGTGGTGGGGGAACGTCAAATAACGTTTATTTTCTAAACATCTGTAACTCTGGTTATCCTCAACATAATTCAACAATCTTTGGCACTTTGTAAAGGCCTTTTTCAGCTTCTTCAACTGTGATTTGAATTGGTGATCTAGAGTATCAATGGATATCCTGATGTAAAAAAAATGGATGTAAAGGTATGCATTTTATTACATGATGCAATAGAGAAACTAAATCTCAACTGGTGGAAGATATTTACAATCAAAGTTGGAAGACTGATTGATGAGAGTTCTTAGTTGTTCACCCTGTACATATGTTTCAGAATATTGGGTAACTCTAGATCTAGGTAGCTATAAATTTATTAGACACAAACCTATGATTGGTAGGTAGGTGGTTTGTTCATGAAAAGTTTTTGTTTGGAAAATAATGAAAAATGATGTTGACATTCAACATATTGTCACGAAAGGATATTTTCCAAATTATTCTCAAATATTACTACTACTATTATTATTATTTCACTGTTCTAATTTATCGAGTTTGTTATATTTCTCAGCAATTCAACTGTCCTCATTCGTGACAAAACATTTTTCAATAAAATAAACATTTGAGATGATCTATCGGAATCCAGGTACCAAGAGGGACTTGACTTTTGGTCCGAATAGCGGACGGTTGCTTGTGGAATGGGGATGTCCCAACTGGGACTTAGATTATTGTAAGTACCATTTTTATTATTCATCAAATCTTCAACCAAATGCCTCTTCAAGGAATGTCAAAATTGTAATTCATCATTAATAAATCCGTATTTGTTTTTGTTGTTCAAACTTAAGTCCTTTTTATTGAGTATCAACCTTCAGCAAATCCCAACTAGCAAAGGCAAAAAGTCACATTCGTGACAATATTTTCAACAAAAAGTCGGGTTTTTTGTTTTTATCAAAATTTTGAAAAGTACTTATGTTTTCTACATATCCACCAATATCTGTAGAAATTATTTTACCTCAATTTTTGTTAATTTTCTTAACCATAGAATTTGAATTTGATTTTGCTGCAAATCTGATATGAAAGTGGATGAGAATCAAAGCTGCTTTGGTCATTAGATCACTCTTTTCAAATGCAGTTTATTCAATTTTGTTTCTAAACTGTTTATTTTTCACTTTTTCAACATGAATATGGAATGTATACCAAAATTTAAGGAAAATATCAATATCCAGACAAAATTGTAAACCTATAAAATATTATTGCCAGAAAACATTGCTTTTGGTGTAATGTATACTTCCAAAATTTGTGTGACTTGATTACTCAAAATGGACGGAAAATAATGAGCAAATGAGATTTCAAAAATTGAGTTAAATTCTCAGGAATTTTGAATCTTGCCTCTGAACTTAAAACCTTGCTTAGAACTCCTGGGATTTTTCTATAGCACTAGATGAAATGGGAGTATTTGAGACTCCTATAATTTACTCATCACGTGATTCCAAATTCATATTTATACATGATTATGAGAATTAGTTTGTTTCTTAAAATCCTTCTTCATTTTTTCATATATTTTCTTTATCATTTGAACAATCTCTGGTTTAGTCTAATTTCAGTCATATTTACAATTTGAAAAAAAATGCAAAAATACTTGTGAATGAGAATAGATACACTTTCAAAAGAATGGTAATTTTGCACTTATCATGCAATGGGTTTTTTTTAGAAAATTTTGTTTGGTAAGTTAGAAATTTTGCCTTCTTTTCCCCCTTGTGGTGGATGCATTTACAGGTGCTTGCTCTTATTATTTTGTCATTGGACACTTTATATACTCATGATGTACTTCACTGACACATTTTAAGATAGAAAATGAACAATCATACCAGATGCCAGATGGCAGCATCTTAATAATATTTTAGGACAAGATCCACAGTTGAGTTTGTATACCCCTGATTATACGAATTTAAAAGTTTTGTCTTTATTATTCTTGAGTTTTTCCTATTTAGTGAGCAAGCATACCAGATGACGGCCATTTAATCCATATGCAATCCAAATATGAGATGTCAAATGTCAATAGATTGCTTTGGAATGACAGACACGCCATTATTTCAAATGATATTCTTCCTTCTTTTCACTAAACATGGATAAATCACAAGAAAATCATACTTCTAGTTGACTCATATAATAAAAAAAATGTGTCCAACATTGTGATATAAATAAATTGTCCAATGATGGAAAAAGAAGGGCAAATTGTTCTAAATGTGATCCAGAAGACAGGCGGAAAAGATGGTAAAATTTGTAACTAAATAGTGAAATATCTTAATAAATAGTGGTTTGTTCACATTTTCATAATCAAATTCGTGTTTTTCAGACAAAAATACATAAGTACCAAAAAAAAATTTCTAAAAAAAACCCATGGCATGATAAGTGTGAAATTACCAAAAGAATTGTTAGCCCCTCTGTTTCATTTTTCCTCACCTGTTTATCTGGTAAAGGGGGTATAGCCACCACATTGAATTTTGCAGTAAGCCTATCATGCAACCAGTCAAAATGCTTGTATCTCCTTGACACTTCCACATTAGAAAAACTTGGAGTCAACTGATAGGCAATGAAAGATTTGAGACCACCCATTTTGGTGGCCTTTTTTGGAGAAGTTATTTGAACTGTGTAGGGGTTGGAAATCACCTCCCACCTACCTAAAACTTCATCACTCTCCCGAAAAATGTGATACTTTTTGCTAGCTACAGGCAGATTTGAGGCAGTACCTAAAAAAAATATTGTTGTGTGCTAGCCATTCTGTGCTCTTGAATTCAAATGCACTTACCTAAAATATAAGTCTCTAACCCAGATTTCACATAGGAAGAAAAAATATTCAGACTTTTCTTGGTGATAGTCCCTTTATTGTCCCCCATGGTGCTAACCCCACTGAGAGACACATTATCATTCTGAACATGGCTCCCATAAGAAAACTGATTCTGATTGCCCCCCTCATTACTATAGATGCTGTTCCTATTCACCTGATTGTTGCCAATCTCTGAGTAAGTAGCTTCATCATCCCAATCGTCATCTTCATCCCAGTCCTCCTTTGGGGGAGCATTTGCCTCCCCCCAGTCAGTCTGAGAGGGCAGCATGGGGGCAGGCACCCCTGGAGGACTGCTGCCCATCCGTTCGACGTAGGCCTCCGGGAACAGGCCTGATATTCCTTTGGAATTGACGCCTTCCCACCAACCTTCACCTACGTCGGTGCGGGACACCGTGAGGGTTTCGCCAGCGGTTATGCTCATTTCGGCGGAGCCCTGCTCCCCCTGGAAGTCGTATAGCACGCGAACTTTGAACTTGGCCATCGCTGACTAATCTCTTTCTCGGATGACTCGATTCTGGCATATAAAGTGGGTGTCCTCTATACTTTACTGATTTCTTCTTATTGTTGTTTCCTGCTTATGTCTGTGGCACAGTTGTTTACTAATTTGTGGTCGATGACTCCGGGTGACGATAAGGTCTGAGCACGTTTCTGTGACGATGTATACGCGAAAAATTTCAATTTCTTCGAAAAATTAATTATTAATTGGATTTGTCACCCATGTTTATGTGTTGACGACTGACCTGACTGACGTTGGCGGTTGACGTCACGTTGACGTTTAACTGTCGTGGTGCGACTTCTGACCTTGTCACTTTGACACAGAACCACAGAATATCAGATTCTAGTGGTAGCCACCTCACGGCAATTACTTGAACCCTTCATTCAGTTGTTTTGTCTTTTGTTTGGTTTTTCTTTTTTATTTACGTCTATTTTACGTCATTACTACTCATTACAGCACAGCCGTCTTCAACTGACATTACTAGTCAATTAAGTGATATTACGTCTTGTTTGTTGTGAAGTGTGAACTGTTTTTGGCTCAGATCTTTTAGATCATTTCACACTGGAAATTATTTAACAACAATATTATGAAAGTACAATATTGTAAAGAAAATATTTACTGTTGTTTAAAAGGTTGAGATAGATTTCATTGATAGTCCATATGTGAGAATTTTTTAGATCTAAATGCACTTATTTACAATATGAACACAATTTCAGACACAAGAACATCCTGAATCAAAATACCTATACCTAAAGATTTAACAAACAACCGCTAGATGGCAGATGGCGAGTGCGTATTTTCTTTTTGGCGGGAGTTGAACTTCTTCAACTTTTCCTCGTCACTATTCTCTAGGGAACACACAGTGTTTTTAATGGATTTGAATTTAATTCTTGGTTTGGTTATCCTGAACTTAGATTGTGTATATATATTCAAAATTTCCATTGGTATTTTTGAGAGATTGAATTTATTGTATCGCCCAGTACTTTCATCATCGATCAAGGTCGCTGCCGCATGATAACTCAATGCAAAGGTCATCACATCGGATCGAAATGACATCATATGCCATGCCATTTAAAAAAGGTAAAGGAATAATGCGCGGTTCTCGCAAAACAGCCATAGAATCGAACGCACTTGACCCACATTCCATTTTCATTCAATGAAAATTGCCTATTTGAAAACAGAGAAGCGCGGCAGAGAAGAGAAAATTATAATACCTACCATTGAAATAAAAATCTCAAAGTCTAACAATAATAGTATTTAGTGCGGCGTAATTCAAAACACATATAAGTATGATGCTATTTCCGATAAATCATCAATAATATGAGAAACGAGAATATTGTTTTTGTAATTCTCCTTGGTAGGAAAACTCACCTTTGAGGATTTTCTCACATCGCACTATTTTTTTTTGCAGTTTACTTATATGTCCTGATGGCAATTACCATAACAAGTGCTATTGAATTTTTTCGCGGCCTTCTACCTATAGACTGATCTGCGGAACCATATCGCGGTTATCGCGTGGTTGCGCACGTGCTTGGGAAATACCGCCTCACACAGAGTGTTGAGAAAGTGTGGGGCAGACCAGGTCGAATTCAAAGTGCTTAATTAATACTTTAATACCTAGAAACAAGATCAGAGGGAGGCCGAATTTTCGTCAACTTCTCTGATGAGCCGGTTTAGAAATGAGAATAAAATTGTTCAGCTTATAGTCACATAATGATTTGAATCTCCTTTCAAAATATAACACTATAAGAGCATGTTCCGAACAGTACTGAATTTACTTGCAACTTGCAAAGTTTTTTGTCGGGTCATTGTAAGGAACCCTGAGGCTAAAAGTTTATTGTTGGCCACTCTAGTGCAGAAATGGTGATATAGTGCCAGAATTCATGAAATGTTGGGTTGAGCGTTTGAATGGTTTAGGGTCAGTTCAATTCACGTTTAATTTCTGATTCTGCTCCACCAATCAGGATACGAAACGTAAGAAGCAAAACGTGGAAAGATTGGTTGTTAACACCGCTTTAGGTATCAGTCGATGAAAAAATTATATATAATTATTTCACAGTTTTTTGGGAAAATGTGAAATTCGAAATGAAATAAGATCTCACAGTGACAGTACTCGCTGAAACTGCCAATAATCTACAAGATACCTTGTTATTTTCACTTTTGATATAAAATATAAAATATTTCACATTTCACAGCTATATGCTCTGTTTCTTCATCACTGGAACTTGGTGTTTCTGATAATATATGAATCAGAATCACTATCGGATAATATGTCTTCTATAATTTCAACGTGAGTAAATTGAAATCAAATTATTCCAGATTTTTTTGGGGATTATCTCTCCTCGTCTCTATAAAATAAAAATATGAATGCTATCTCAATATACGTGTAGTGAGGACAAATCAGATGATTTGCCCCAAAATGTCACTGTGTTTCAAGAGTTTGCGTATCACAGATATAGCTCAGAGAGACTAAAAGAATAGTTATTTTTGTATCTAGAGCGCGAAATGCTACTTTGGCGATCGAGATCTGATTTTTAAAGGAGGCGTAGCCGAGTTAAAAAATAGTCGAGATGACCAAAGTATTTCGCGCTCGAGTTGCAAACAAAATTTTTTCTACAAACGTCAAAAAATATAGTTCTGAAGTAAAAATATGCTTAACTTGATATGAAAAATTGTGTTGAACTGGCTTGAAAGGTCTCCTCCTATCCTCCTTTAGACTCCCTGATGGAAAAATTTGTTAAACGCAGTGACATTTTGGGGCAAATCATCTGATTTGTCCCTCTACAAATATATCGAATTAATACGAATACTTTTATTTTATAGAAACGAGGAGAGAAAATCCCAAAGAATCAAGTAAAATGTTTTTACTGTTTTTTCACGCTGTTTCATGTTATCATGTCGATATGTTTTACATGGCTGTGAAGGGAATTTTCAGCCCTATTGAATGGTATAAGAAACAAATATGGCGCCTATAAGAAAAACAAAAGTTGCATAGTTTATATCTGAAACTGATGAAGATAGAATATTTCTGATAATTTCTTCTTCTTTGTCTTGATCAAATACCTAATCACACAAATTTTGTTTACAAAATAAGCGATTTTCAGTAATTTCAAAATATTTCAGGAAAGGATGAATTTTTTTCAGTTTGCGAAACGTCATATTGTAGAGGTTCAAATTACGCATCTTTTGTCTAATTTAATCAACTTTCTATCTCTTATCGTTTAGGAGATAGCAATAGTGCCCCACTGTACACTGTCGATGGCTTTTGTTGTCCTAGTTCCGAAAAATAAGCTACTAACACCTTCTCCGAGAAAGAACTGCAAGTTTTTTTTCATCTTCCATTACACTGAGTGGTTACATGAATTACTAAACAACAACTAAGATCACAGAAAATCACAGAATTAGACTGACGGATTTTTGATAACCTGAAATGACAAAGATGTAGGTGTAATTCCTGTTAAAAACTTCAAATTTCGCGAATATTGAATTACATCTATTGAACACACCCGATAAGAATTTGTGAAAACAAAATCTTCGGATGTAGAGAATTTGCATTCTCCTTCATATAAAGATATGCATATAATATTATTCTGAATATTCAACAGAATGGCTGAAAGAATAGGTAACTGGACTTCAGGTTACTGATGAGGATATGAAATCCGAAATGAGTTTTACTCGAGTTGAGATGAGTTGATAATTCACATATCACTGATACAAATGATTTTTTTTTTAAGTTTCAAGCTCATCAAGATCAAAGTTCATAAAAGTGTACTTCTCCTATACATTTCAATTTTCATTTCAATACTGAACATATTGGAAAGTTATATTTTTATATCATAATACATCATATTTCGATTTTTCGTGCTCTCTTTCTGAATATTCAAATGTTCCAACCCCTGTGAGTTTATCGATAAATTAATAACTATAATAGGAGTATATCATGCACTTTCACTTATATATATACATTAGAAAAAAATGCCGTATAAGGCCACGTCGGTCGATTCTAGCTGACATCCTTTTATGCTCTTCTCTACACCAGAACGACTTCACAATGTCTGAGCAGCAATATGCTGATCACTTCCCAGCGAGCACAAAAACATCTCAGAGATTTATTTATTTATTTATTTAGAAAACGAGGTTATCCAACAGAGGAACTATATAAATAGTCCTTCCAATGACAGGATAACACAGTGATACAAAATTATTGTCTTCACATGGGTTGGGATGTTAAAAGTACGAGATTTCGAGACATTGAACCTCCACTGCGATGTTCTGTTCACACATGAATAGAACTATTATAGAACAGCCAATGTCCGCCGCAGGCGGCAATTATCGAGATGTCCTTGATATGTCACAAAACTACCTTCTCCCTAGTTCTTTTTAAAGCCTTTTCATGGACACTACAGAACATTTTCAACGCGTTTTGCGCACATTAAATCGCTGTAAAAACATTTTCGAGGTACTTTTCTGAAGCCTTTTGTCAAAATGAACTTTCGCATTAGGATTCCATTTCCCTTGAATGGAAAAATGCATTAAAATAGATTGAACATAAAAATATTTTCTTGATATGAAATTACCTTCTTAATCGGTTTCTGAGTAGTGCCTACTACACACAGACATATAATTGGAAATAAGTTTCCCAATTTTTGAAATGTTCTCCACAATGCATAATTTTGCAACTGCGGAGAAGCTGTGTATTGATGAATTCGTACTTTTATATATTGATTACACTGAGGCACCGAACAACACATCTTGCATCTGATGGTCATTATTACAAACTAAATAAGTCTTTTAACATAATACACTTCACCAAATTCCTTTCTGTTCTTTAGCAGCGTGATGTAAGCGTGATACGCTGCAAACGCGAATACCAATTGCGAACAAGAAGAACAAAATCGAAAACAAATCAGAATTCATCGTATTGTGACATAAGCATGAGACGTTGTGGTGATGCAATTGATGCAAACAAAGAAAGGGCACAAAAGAACAAGAACATTACTTTCAATATCCTTGTAAGACCTCTTTGGGAAGTGCATATTACGCCTCAAAAAAACATCCTCATGCCTACATTTCTAAAACATCCCAAAACATCCCAGGGATACCTCTCAGTAGGCAAACAAAGAAATGTCACAGAAGAACAAAAACAATACTTCAATATCCTTCAAAGACCTCTTTGGTCAGTGCATATTACGTCTCAAAATAACATCTTCATGCCAACATTTTCAAAACATCCCAAAACATCCCAGGGATGTTTGTGCTCGCTGGGTTAGATGCCCCCTACTCTGAAAACTTCGCGTGACCTGACGCGTTCGAACCAATGAAAATGCATCGGCTCAGCACGATATCAAGCTGTGGGTCAAAAATGACTGACATGGCAGAGTGTTAAAAATAATCGTTCGTTGTTTTTATGAGAAATGAGGAAATATCCGAGGAAGCGGCAACCCTGTTCCACACGGATATCGTATTTCCCCGACACCTATTTTAGGGCGGCAGCTCGTCTCCAGAAATAGTGTACGGGATGATCCGAATACCCGGGCCCGCAGTGGGGGAATCCAGCCTAGAATCGACGCAGAAAATATCGGCCACGCCACAGTCAGCATTTGGTCCTCGTTGACTGCTCACATTTTCCATCGTCAAGGACAGGTATGTTGAACACGTATACAGAGTGTTGAGAACGCCGGTTAGTGAAATGTGCCCCAAAAAATTGAAACGTCTGTTTTAAGGTGGAAAAGTGGATTTCAACAAGTTTTTTCTTCAATACAAAAAAGTGTTGTGCGAGAACTAGCTAGACTGTTTGTAGAAGTCTAGAGGTGGCTGGTAAAATAATTAATCTGTGAATTATTCTCGGCATCATTATTTATAGGGTGTTTAAAAATAACATAGGAAATCATCCTGAGTAGCCTGATCGATGTTGAAATCCATCAGATATTCTTAGATGTTTGCAACATCTTTTGACTGATGTATTTTTGGAACCTTCAGCTTCTACCTAAAAATATGCATACCATTATGCAATGTTCAATTTACAGCAGAGCTATAAATAGAAAGTGTATTTTCGGGAGTTTCATCAACCTGATTGTTCTCAAAATTTCGAAACACAAATTTAGAACCAAAATTTCCAGAAGATCTCATTGAAACAAAAATTGCGCTTGAAATTATGAGTTATTTGCAAAAGTTCTGAGGTGCAATGTCACAATTTTGTATTGATTGTGAGAATTAAGAGTTACAAGTAAGAATGATCACATCGGTCAATCGCTTTTTGGGGTATATCCCTAATAAAGATTTTCTCTCTCTCTTTTGATAGTACGACTTTGGCCGCTTTGGTCTTTAGGAAACTGAACCTGTAACATATACATACAGGGCGTTTCTTAAGTACGTGTGACAAGTTGCTGACGTCAAAATGACGGAAGAGACAAAGTAACATCAATAATTTTGATTTTGTCATTGAAAAATACTTCGAGATACCGAATTTCACTCGAATATTACGATTATTTTGGAATTTATTCACAAAAAACAAATATAGGAATCGAATCTTAACACTCTGTATCTTAGAAACGAATAACTTGCGGACATATGTTTATATACAAACTTTTTTCTTATTTTGACGTCAGCAAATGCTCTTAAATTTTTCACACGTACTTAAGAAACAACCTGTATATTTTCATCTCAATCCAATCATATTGATGAGGCTGAAGATGGACTTGTATAAATCCGAAACAAGTTCCTGAATCTTCAAAATCAACATTAAATTGTGTCTGAAGCTTCGAAATGTGATGATCCTGAAGAGGATACCAAATTAGGATGCTGCGCAAGTTTAGTTGGAAATGGGCCAAGACGTTTATTTTTAGTAATGTTTGTTGTCATTTCAATAAGTGGAGATATAGCTCAGTTAAACGGTAACGATTAGGACCCAATCCGGGAAAAAATTCAAGTAGTCGGTTTCTTTGTGGTTTTATAATTATGTTATTGAAGGTGCTGAATTCGACTCTGAATTTTGCAAACAAAATTCCCTGGAGCGTTCCGAGATATTAGCAAAAATCAGCGAAATTTTCGCACTTTTTTCGGTTTTTTGTCCGTAACTCGGAAATCATACATTATATCGAAAAGACCGTTCTATAAAAAGTTGAAGTAGAAAAATTTCCTAGATAAAATTGTTCTTGCTCATTAATGTAGGACTGAAGGGTGCGAAAATAGAGCCAGTTGAAAATTGACCAAATTTGAGTACTGTTCAAAAAATTGCATTTCTCGTCAGTTTTCGGAGATAATTAATATTTTACGTATTACTCAGAGAAATAGCATCATGCACATATTGTGAGAGCATCAAATTTCATATCGAGCTCATGTAAATTTCGTCATTATGAAAATAGATGAACGGCTGTTAGAGCGCTCGGACTTGGAGACGTCTTCATAGTTGCCACACTCATGTTCATCCTTTCAACTCATATGATTTGGATCATATGAACCTATATTCATTAACGCTCTAAAACGTATAAATAGGTCATTGTTTTGTTTTTGTATTCTGTGGGGTGGGGATAAGAAAAAATTAAAATTCTTTACGCTGGAATTATAGTTGTTATAATTGCGATACAATAATTTCAAATGCTATAGGGTATTCTTTGAGCATTTTGAGAAAAAACTGATAAACTATCAAATTACCAATTTTGTGATGAATAAGTATCAATCAATTCTCGCTCATGTGGATTCCATGGCGTCAATGGAATGAGGCAACTGATCGCCTAGCAAGAAAGTGCAGAGCTCACATTTTGCCTTCCTATGAGACAAGCAAATGCCACCTTATCACCACAGAGCTCAGAGAATGAGAATGAAGTGCTAAAAATCTTACTATATACTGTTGAGTAGCTCCAAGTAAACGAGAAGGACAGAGTTCTTCAAAAATTCGTAAGCTAGTGAGTCTCAGCAAACAAGAGCTAAAGCACTACCCTCTGAGCTATTACTGAAAAAATGGGTCTAGAGGAGACTGACACTGCGAAGCACCACTGTTCATGTAAAGTACCAGTCCTCCAAAGGCTATAGTTTAGTCTAGGGTAGTCCTAGAACAGGTCTAGATAACGATGAATTATCTCATGGTCAATTTTCAACTGGCTCTATCTCCGCACTCGTTGGTCCTACATGAGATATGACAATTATATTTATGAAATTTTATCTACTTCAACTTTCTATAGGGCGGTATTTTCGATATTACGAATGATTTTCGAGTTACGGTCAACGAAAAACGAAAGCCCGAAATTTTTGCTGTTTTTCACGAATATCTCGGTACGCTCCAGTAAATTTTGTTTGCAAAATTCAGATTCGAATTCAGCACCTCCAAAAATATATGAAACCACAGAGAAACTTACTACTTGAATTTTTTCCAAGTGAAAATACCATTTGATTGGACTAATATGCTATCTCGAGCTTTCAGCTGCAGACAAGATTGCCAATCATTTCGAAAACTGACTTGAATTTTTATTCAAATAAATTAAACGCACTCGAGCTTTATTTATTATTTATTTTTCATTCGCCTTTTTTTCAGAACAACAAATAAACTTCCATCATGGCGGACGACGAGGTTAGGTGAGTGTCATATACAGGATGTGCTCGAAGAAATATTGAATCCAATAAACCAAGTCATAGGCCCTATGCATACGCCATCAGAAATAAAATTGGCTGAAGATATACAGGGTGGAGCGTCTCATACGACACGAGGTCACTTACTATTTTTGACCATACTGTACTCAAGACATTCACGTATGTGGTGTCCCACCCTGAATAGTTAAACATTCGAATACGTTTTTCTCCTAGATATTTTTTGTTGTATGTACAAAACCTTTTTTTCTTTTGCAGTATATCATCGACTCTTCATGCCTCTTTTGACCAAAAAAGGTAATTATCTCACTGCATGCTGCTTTTTTCAACTCTATCTTCTTTTACTTCGATTGTAGCTATCTTTTTACTTAGGAATCTACTAAAAATGACAAGTAGAGTCTGAGAATCCGAATATTGGATTTTTCAGAGAAAATGCTTATCCCCCAAAATAGTTAATGCATAGAACTATGTAGATACATATCGGCTTTTATATGTGTATTATTTTCTTTGTACTTCCTTCTAGGGCAAAGAAAGTACTCTTGGTTTTAGTATAATAGAACAAATTTTTGCATTATCTTTCGCCTTATAAGAGTTAGAGAGTAAGTAGTTGTGCTAATTAGAGTGTTCTGCTAATTCTCATCTGCAATTTCCTTTTCACTACTAATTACTAACTTGGTAGATACTGAAAATATCAGTGTACTTATTCTCACTTTTCAACACATACTATGTTTTTGTAATCTTCTCACAACATAACACTATGCACTGCTACACATCAATATTTTGTTCACTTACTTATACCAAATTATTAACTGGGGATAATTCTGTTTCACTTGGTTTTATAAACATCACAATCAATACTGGATTTCAAACTATTACACGGATGTTGGATGCAGCCACCGTGTAGGCTGGAGGTATTTCTTATTCAACAATCTAAATTTCATCCTCAATATCAAAAAATGATTCATCTTTATCAGTTTTTGTAATTCAAACATCAAATAATTATTACGACTTTGATCACCTCACCTTGTATGTGGGGTACTTCCTAAAAAACTAATCCTAATTACACACTTTATTCAAAAACACTACATACCTTATTAAAATGGACCTGATCGATTGTTATAAAGTTGCATCATGAGGACACATCGAAAAAAAATATATACAGGGTATGTCACGACGAGCTTACACTATCTACACTAAATTCATGAAAATATGCATGTCCATATTTCAGAATACGCTCTCTTCATTTAAAATGATTTCAGCAATGCAGTGTTGCCGCTCCTATCAAAAAGTAGCAACAACTTTGTTATGTCAAATAGAATACCCTGTATTTTACTGCAATTTTAGATTCTCCCTGAAGAGCGGATTTCATCGATACATCACACTTGGGGTCTATCGGAAATGATTACAGAGATAAAGGGTGTTCAAAATCGAGATTTTTCAACTTTAGGATTTGTTTGTGTCGAAACTATTCATTATCGGCCAAAACGGCTCACATGTCCCTATCTCAACTTTTGATTTACTATTTACTGATATTCAATCGGAAAAGATACAGGGTAATCAGTATTCTGAATCTTGAACCACCTTGTAACTGTTCCGATAAAATATCAGTAAATAGTGAACCAAAAGTTGGGATAGGGACGTGTGGGCCTTTTGGATTGATAATGAATATATAGTTTCGGCACAAAATAATCCTAGAGTTGAAAAACGTCGATTTTGAACACCCTAAATCATTTTTGATAGACCCCAAGTGTGATAGATCGATGAAATCAACCCTTTAGGAAGAATCTAAAATTGCGATAAAATACAGGGTGTTCCAGTTGAAATATCAATGTTGCTACTACTTTCTAGTAGAAGCGGCAACACTGCATTGTCGAAAATATTTAAAATGAAGAGAGCGTATCCTGAAATATAAGCTTGCACATTGTCATGGACCCTGTATTATCGGGGTATGAACCATCTACCAACTATAACAATCGATTTTATGATAGCAAAATCGTTTCTAATCGTTGGATTTTCTTTTTTTTCTAGAAAAAGAAGTTGGAGGAGGCATGTATCACAAACCGAAAGTAGTATAACATAGTGAACAGATTGGCCTACATATCAATCGATACGTTATTCTAAAATATACTGAAGCTTAACCCTATCATGAAAAAATATCAAAATTAACAATGCACTATCACATGAAAATTTGAACGTGATCTTCATCTAATTTTAAATCGAATGTAAGCCGGCCTAGTGCAATTGATGAGACTTTAGCAAGCCGAAACAGACAGAATGTCTTAAATACCGGGTGACCAGTTATATTCTGACCCATTTCAAATGCTCATATCTCTGAAACCATTTAAGTTATCGTTGTGCGGTTTGGACTAGTATATTTTGATGTTTTTAAAGTTTTTTTTGACGTGTTCATCTTCTCACTTGAACTTCCGCTTCTACCGGAAACAAACAAGTAATAATCCAGGTATAGGGCAACTTTTTTATTTCATTGAATCACCCTGTATATTTTTGCACATTCAGAAAGACTGGTCTTTTCTCTATCTGACAATGTATTACAAGTTATGTTCTTCTAGAAAACTATTAGAGTTATAACTTTTTGAAACAACTACTGCTTGTGGAATGGTTTAATGAGATTATGCAATGTTATCAAAGTTGCCCTATACCGGTAGAACCGGAAGTTCAGGTGAGAAGGTGAACCAGTCAAAAAACTTGAAGAATATCAAAATAGAGAAGTCCAAACCGCACAACGATAATTTGAATAGTTTCGGAGATTTGAACAGTTGAAATGGGTCAGAATAATATAACTGGTCACCCGGTATCATATAAGTCTTCAGAGTTCAGATTCTAGGTTTCTTATATTTCATCAAATCCGAAAAGATTACTGAGAAAAATTATATTTTCTAGTACATTTCTTTGGAGATATGTTTTCATGGCAGTCTGTTCACTATTTTTCGCTGTAAAACCGACGTAATGATGATTTTGCTCCACACCAAAATTAGGAAAAGAAAAGGAAACAAACCGAGATCGAACGCAAAAGGGCAGAGGTTAGGGCCCGCATGGAAGAGGCCTCCAAGGCCAAAAAAGCCAAGAAAGGTTTCATGACCCCAGAAAGAAAGAAGAAACTCAGGGTGAGTAAGCTTTTCCTACAGAATAAAACATTCTTGAAGTGTGAACTCATCTCCGCGTTCAGCAGTTTTTTGGGCGAAGAGATTGGATTTTGTGTCATCAATCTATGTCGTCACGTAACCGAAGTCATTGAATAGCAAAAAATCTTAGGGGTATCTCCCATGCAGTATGTATTTTGTAATTATTATGATCTATTTCTATAATATCTATTCAAAATTGGTATATGGGGAGTCTCGGAGTCGGAGATTATGATTCCTTCGTGAAACTCAGGATATTCAAGATGGCGGATCTAATAAGACGGATTTTGTAATTATGACTCGATTCTATTCAAAATTGGTATATGGAGGATTTCGGGTCGGAGATTACGATTCTTCCGTCATAATTTGAAAATTCCAGAAGGCGGAACCAATATGGCGGACCAGTTTTGTAATTAATGATCTGATTCAATTCAAAATTGATATCTGGGGATTTCCAGGGTCGGAGATTATGATTCTTTTGTCAGAATTCGGAAATTCAAGATGCCGGATCCAATATGGCACACGAGCTTTGTTATTAAGATCCGATTCTATTGAAAATTTGTATCTGGGGGTTTTCGGGGTCGGAAATTATGATTCTTTCGTCAAAATTAGGAAATTTGAGATGATAGATTCAATATAGCGGATGATTTTTTGTAGGTAATTATGATCCGACTCTATTCAGAATTTGGGTGGCGGAAATTTGATCGAAAGACAAATGATAGAAAAACATTCGATAGAAGTCTTTTGATCGAAAATCGAAAAATAGAAAGAACTTTTCACCGAAAATACATTTGATCGAATGTTTTATGATAGAAAATTTATTTGATAGAAACATTAATGATAGAAAACACAATTGATAGAAAAAATATTTGATAGAAACAGCATTCGATGGAAAATTCAACGGGGCTACGCTCAAGTTAGGTCAGTTCGTTCTATCAAATGTATTTTCTATCATAAAACATTCGATCAAATGCATTTCTATCAAAAACGCTTTCGGTCAAAAGACTTCTATCAAATGTTTTTCTATCATTTGTCTTTCGATCAAATTTCCGCCATCCTCAGAATTTGTATCTGAGGGGTTTCGTGGTCGGAGATTATGATTCCATCGGCAAAATTGGGAAATTCAAGATTGCAGATCCAATATGGCGGACGAGTTTTGTAATTATGATACGATTCTATTCAAAATTTGTATCTGGGTGTTTCGGGGTCGGAGTTTATGAATCATTCGTCAAAGTTGGGAGATTCAAGCGAACTGAAAAGGAGTAGGAAATATTAATCTGATAGCTCGACGATTCAATATAATATACAAATAGTTCACAGTTTTCACTTCAATCGGCAGTCTCCAAAGATTGCCCTCGCACTTTTTCTCATTATCATATCACAATTTTTTTTCTATAGGTTCACATTTATATTCTGAGAACTTTAAATCATTGATCCCTGAATACTAGTAAAATATAGATAGGTACCCACTGACTACGTAGTGACGAAAAGTATCTAGTTTTATGTCTATGATTTTTCTTATCAGACGAAATTTTTCAGTTGTTGTTGAGAAAGAAAGCCGCTGAAGAACTGAAGAAAGAACAAGAACGTAAAGCAGCCGAAAGAAGGCGCATTATTGAAGAAAGATGCGGAAAACCAAAAATTCTCGAAGATACCAATGAAGGTAAGATTGCAAATAGAATAAGAGACCTAAATGAAGATCTTGGAATACGGAATATCAACATACAAAGAAAACTGTTACTGCTGAACAAATATGAGGGGCTGAAATGTACTTAAATTTTATTTATTTAGATTAAAAAATCATTCTGCTGATGATGTGAGTAAGTTGGTGAATCAGAATTTTTGAAATGTTACTAGTATTGGGACTCAGTCTCTCATTCTTGTCCAGCGGTTTCTATGATCGTAAACTCAAACCACCATACACTTTTTTTGTCTAAGTGCACATTGAACATTTTGTGATGGTTCTACTTCACACAATGTGTAAGTTTCCTTTTATTGATTTTCTTTCATTATTGTTGCTATCCTTGAAGCCGATGAAATATCACATCTCAAACAGAGAACTTCAAGTAACTCGATCATTTCCTTCAGAAAATACAGTTCGTAGAAAAAGTGTCAAATTCCGAACTGTGCACTTACTGCGCAAATCTAAGCACATGGTCACAGTTAAGAGAATACAAATATATACATAGTCCTGAAGTCAAAATAAGCCGATTTAAAGAAACTTATTACCTCATTCCGAAATTGCTTCGTTTCCGAGAAACAGGATGGTGAATTTAAAAAATAAGAATCACAATATTTTGAAAAATTCATTTTCGCACTGCTCATTCACTGACGAAATTACATTCATGAAGATAAGAGCAAACATTTTTTATTCAAAATTATTCAAATATTCTGGTCCGCTATCGCACAGTAGAAACCGAAATATCTCGAGAACGGCTTTCTTTAGCGAATTTCCACAAGTGTGCCTATCTTGCTTGCAAATATTCAGAAAATTATTTCCTCTACAAAAAAATAGAAAAACTACACTGAAAAAAAGTTATGGCTTTTCTAAACCATAAGAAGTGCATTGGTTAGCGCCCTCTAATGGCCACAGTGAAAAGATGTCCGTAAGTAACTAAGCTATGAGAGAACGGCCTCATTTTGACCACTTTTCCCATGTAAATCTCCATAAGAAAATTTCTGGTCAAAAATAGCAAAAATGGTCGTCGGACTCGAATAAGTTGACGAGCGGTCTAACCACAAAACGAGCATCAATCAACCGCAAACTGAGATGCAATAACAAGATGTGAAAGACGTTTTATACAGGGCAATTAAAAAATCCTGAGTTGAATGAAAACATATACAGAGTGAGTCAAATAACCGGAGCCGAATAAATATTCAAAACAATATACAGCCAAATTGCCGGGGTCAGATACGGATACGGATACACTATATTCGAAAAACATACACAGTGTGAATCCAAAAACCTGAGGCAGATTATTTGGAAAAAATAAAATTGAATTACCATGAGCCCAATCACAATGTAATTCAATCAAATGTATCGAATGGATTGTTGTACTTTTGACTAATTCAAGGCCATCTAGACCACGTGATCAGCCTCGAGAGACTATAAAACGTCAAGCCAGAACGCATTTCATTGAACAATGAAAATCAGAACTAGATGCACATGTTGTTGTTATGACCACAAAAAATTCTAGAAACTTCTGGAATAATACGCATTGTTACTTCAAAACGCAAATGAAATATAAGAATGAACATAATATACAGGAAGTGCTGAAAAATCCAGAGTCAAATAAACATATACATAGAGTGAGCTAAATAGCTGGAGGTGAATAACACTAATACAGGGCGATTAAAAAAAACCTGAGTCAGATATAAATATTTAAAAAACATACACAGGATGAATTAAAAAATCTGAGCAATATGGAATATCTGAAAAACATATACAGGGCGAATTCAAAAACCTGAGTCAAATTGATTGAAAAAAATAATATCGGACTAACATGAGCCTAATCGGATTTCGCATCCCAAAAATCCCTTGGCTACCAATTTTCGAAATAATACGTTCGAAAATGTTCATATATTTTGAAAAATTAGATATGTATTTTTCAACTCACCACTCTGTATCTCGTAAATGGAGCTATTCTGGACTGAGGTAAGTTGCTTTGAAGCAGCTTATTCTGATGACCTCAGGAATATGTGCTGAGATTTTGTACAGACGCTTCAGGGTATATTTATTTTTACAGAAGTTTCCAAGATTTTCAACAACTTTTTTTTCCTTCAGCAAACGGTATTTGGGAATGCCTATTTCGATTCCAGTAATCACAGTCAGTACCACACTCACACGACCCGTCAAATTAACATTTTTTCTCACTATCTCAAGTCGAACTGAATTTTTCCTTAGACCAGCTATCTGGGTTTTGCACAATGTATCACAACAGAATAGCCGAATTGGAAAGCGAAAAATTTGACCTGGAGTATCTCATAAAAAAGAAAGATTTCGAGGTTAGACGGTATCCCAAACAAAGTTGTTTATGCACGTCAGATTTTTTCCACAGCTACGTATCGTACATTGAACGTTACATCGAAATTGTTTCCTTAAAGCAGAACATTGTTGAGCACCAAATCATCCCATTTTTTATTGGTGGAATATTTTTGGTGATCAGCAGTTTTTCTTGGTCAGCTTTAGCTCCCCTCCTGATTTTGCAAAGTACAATGCAAAAATCTGGTTTTATCTTTTGAAACAACTGTATATCTTTCCCTAACTGAACTGGTGAATAAATGAAGTGCAGTTTCAGAATGATTCTTCAATTGGGAGGATTTTTCTCACCTATCACAAAAATTGAAAAAAAAAATGGAAACATTCATATATTATAGGTCAGGCTAATTAGTGCTCTAGCCCCTAAAATTTGCTCGAGAGCTGAAAATCATTTTAATCCCTCTTGAGGGTCCTAAATAACGGGTATAGGAGGGTTTTAGTAACTCAGTAAATACAACTGCTAAATCTCATAAAATAAGAGATCTAGGATGAACAGAGTTGTCCCAATTGTCAGCAGGAGCGAGACAGTACTGTTTCGACCCACCAGGTCTCATCAGCCGCTCTCGGTCTGCTGACAACTGGGACAACTCTACGCTTCGGGTATATCACCCATTTCGAAGACGCAGGGTATAACATGAAGTTGTAGTCATGTTGTAGCCATTTTGTGGCGGCGAAACTCTATTCAGTTGAATATACGCTACAGAGTTGAATAGGTGGTGGAAAAATTCCACTCAAGTATGTCAGGTAGTGCCAACTGTCAGCAGAGTGATTTACTTGTAATACCACTCTGTAGCGTATAGACGTAGGGGTCTGTACGTGTGACTATAGATGGCAGCGCCATACAGTGTATGTCGCGATATCTCTGTATCCTACCTCAGAGCTTTGCCACAAGATGGCTACAACATGACTACAACTTCATGTTATACCCTGCGTCAATAAATACAAATGTAAAAACTTTGTAGAAGTGTGTAATAAAGTGAAAAGTTTTGAGTTCAGACGAAGTTTTCTGCGTTGGGCTGCCTTAGTGAAAATTTGGCGCTATGACCTTTTTTGATTTAAAATTCATATCTCAGCACTGAACTCATCGAATTCCAAATTTCAATGAGCATCCTATTCAGAATTGAATTTTCTACAACATTGGTCCCATGACATTTTTCAAATAGAGCAGTCGTTTTCGTTCTACAGGCGTTAGAATTTGAGGGTTGTCAACTTACTTTTTAGCAAATCGAAATTGCCTATTTTTGACGGGCGCTTCCAGCTGAACGACTGAACCAAATTCAATTTTTCAAGTGTCATTTCACGCAGAATCCAATGTTATTCAAAAAACAGATTGTGCATTTTTTTGTTAGATGGGTTCTTTTTGAGGTATAGGCGAAAAACTGAAAGAAATGCGAAAATTTCGCGGTTTTGAGGCTGAAGCACAGCCTAGAAACCGTCGCAAACTCATATACCTGTTATGGTGCCTGTTATTCAGGACCCCCAAAAGGGGTCCAAAACGATTCCATCAGCTCTAGAGCAGTTTTTAGGACCAGAGCCCTTTTTTCCACTGACTATCCTGGGCCATTGTCGTTCTAGATGACAACCTAGTTAGGTAGTTAGTAGGCAGGAGCTATAATCATCTCAATCTCATGAAAGAATCTTCTTCATCGCCTTTGTATCAAATATCACGTCAATGATGGAAAGCGCATCTGTGGTTGAGTACATATTGGGAAAAAATAGAAGAAGAGAATATCAACCTAATATGGTCTATTTTGACATAAACAAATGAGCTCTTTCCATTTTCTCATCCCCAGCGCCACTTGACAGACAGACATATTTTGATTGAATGAACAGACAATATTATACCTCCTCGCACTAGGTTGCCTACTAGGTTTTCATTTAGATCGACAATGCCTGGGCTAATAGTTTTTAACTACGAAATAGCCACAATGCTCGAAGTGGAATAAAATGTCAAATAAATACAAAAGCTGAAAGTCATATCCAGACTGAACATTATGTGCATATGACTTTGAGCTTTTTGGATTTATTTAATAGTTTGTACTTCAGTGTGGTTACAATGACAATCCAAAATGAAATTATATTTTTGGGTCCACTTCACTAACTAACCTTTTTTATCAGAGAGGATATTTCATCCTGAACATTATACCTATTGGACAATTTGAAATGAATACCTTCCACCATTAAATTTAGATATTTTCAAATTGCACTTTGATATATCACCAGTGTCAGTTCAAATCGTTCATTATTCAACCATAGATCATCTATAAATATTCCTTGACACTTCGCCAAACTACAGGGTGTCCCTAACTAAAAGCTCTCAACAAAAACTCACCACATATTCCCCAGACCAAAACAATTCGATACCAGCAAACTTACCCATCAGAGTTGCTGAGTTTGGGCATGTTTGGGCGATAGACAGCTCTGAAGTTACAATTTTCAAATCGAGTTAGCTTCATCATGAGATTTTACTCAAAGGACCCCCCCGCAAATTTTTAAGGTAAATTGGGTCCCGATGGATTTTTCTCAATATTTTGTATGATGTAGTTCATGTGGTTCTATAAAATATTTTCATTTAATTCAAATTTCACATTTGAATCCCTTTCTTTCCATTGGCGTAGAAGTTT